CGCGAGTCGGTGTCCCGGGAGTCGTTCTCGATCCGCGAGTCGCTCTCGAGCAAGTTTTCGCTGCGTCGGTCCAAAAATTAGGAAGTAATACCAATAACGAGTTAGCCATTTACACTTATATACTCGACAAATACTACAGTAGTACTAGTATAGTAGTAGAGAGGAGTTGCTGCACCAAGAATATGATACATATATCTCATTGGTTGCACACACGGCTGCGGTTCCGTCGCCAGCTGCAGTTGCGTTGGCTGCGGAACCCTAGCCCGACGAGACTAACCTAAACCTAAGCGTCAAAGTTAACGACCAAGCGGTAATGGCCGCGATCGCACGGTCCGGGACGTGGCAGGTCGGGCGACGTCGCACTGCGCAGCGACGCAGCAAGGGCGCGCAGTGTGTCGTAGCCGAGCCAGGCGCGGATGATGTCACCGTCAACGGTGACCATTTCCAGTTCGTACTTCAAGCCGTAGCCGCCTCGGGACGCGTGCACCGTACAGGCTGTCACGTGCGCGGAGCGCAACGCGACCTCGTTCTCCAAGGAGGGACTGCCGCCAATGATGCTATAGCAGCGGTCCTGCATCCCCGTCGTCCAGCAATATCCGCGATGCAGAAGACTCGACACCTTCTACACGAGTCTTGCTCGCTTTTACGTGCCACTGGCCTTTTCCCCGCGATGATCCAAAAGGCATTTCCGCATCGTAGTGTCTGTCGTCCACCACCACGCACCAATATGGAGCCAGCAACAGGCACGAGCAGCAGCAGCAGCAGCGACGGTATCTCAACCAAGTCGTTGGCTGCTCGTCTTGCCGACGCCGAGGCGGCGGCGGTCGAAGCGCGCAAGGCGACCGAGGTCGCAGTCGTCGTCAACAGCCGCATCTGCGCCGAGAACGCGCTGCTGCGGTCCAAGATGGCTGCGCTTCTCGCCGAGCGCAGTGAGAACGAGCGAGTCCGGGAGAACGACCGCCTCAAGCAGCACGTGCTCGTGCTCCAGAGCGAGCTGGCGCGTGTCACGGCCATCTCGCTTCTGTCGGCCAAGGTCGTCGAGAGCCGCGTCACGGTGCGCGAAGGCCGTCAGTTTGTCGAGTACCAGCTCCAGATCGAGACCGACCGCCGGGGCACGCTGTACGTGTGGCACCGCTACTCGACCTTTCGCAGTCTCTCGACGACGCTGCACGCCAAGCACCCGCGGGTGCCGGACCTCCCCAACACGCAGCTGTTTGGTCACAGCACGGCAGTCGCGATCCAAGATCGCATCGCGCTCCTCAACCACTTCCTCGGCGTCGCTTGCAGTGTGCAGGACGTTCCGTGGGCCATTCGCGTCGACAAGGACACGGTCGTGTACAAGCATCCCAAGTGTCCACCCATGGTCGAGGACGAGCTGCGTACGTCGTCGTCGCGTCGGCAGTCGGTCACGAGCCGCTTGCTGCGTTTTTCAACAGCAACCGCGTCGAAACAGTCGACCATCGATGAATGAATCCAATGGATAGTAGTGGATCGTGGTTGCATGAGGATGATGTACTTGGATCGCAGTTGGGTGTTGGCTTTTGCGAGACTTGATAGAAGAAGAAGAGGAATCCACTCTGCCATCCAAGGTCGACAGCCACGTCCAGTCGTTTGGACGTCCGTGGTCTATCTGTCGGCAGTTGGAATGTACACGCTCCTCTGAGACATATATGGGTTCGATCCCCTGTTTTTCATATTACATTATACACACTACTGCTCCACAAAATCTCATCTACGTCGAGTAGAGCTCAATCTTGAAGAAGAAGAGCGAGATGAGAAAGCCGATCGCCGAGAGGACGCCGCCGACGAGGATCGGGAGCGCGTACCCCATCGAGGACGTGACGAGGATCGACGAAAAGATAAAGTTGAGAAACTGGCCGGCGCAGTAGGCCGAGTTGAGCGCACCGGCAAAGAGGCCGAGGCCCGAGTTCTCTTCGTGGCCGATGACGTGGATGATGGTGGCCATGAAGAGCGAGAGCAGCGTGTTCTGCGTGAACGCGCAGGCGATGACGATGATCATGTCGATGGCGACGACCTTGCAATACGCCATCGCGATGAGGAAGATCTGCGGGATGATCGAGGCCGTGATGACCTTCTTGACGCCAAACTTGCGCACGAGGTACGGGAGCACGGCCAGGTAGAGAAGCGAGACGCAGTTGTAGATCGTGTCGGTGACGCCACCCGCGAGCTGGACGCCGTCGTTGTACGCGATCTGCTGGGCCGAACACGCGGGGTTGCCGTCGTGACCGCACTTGTCAGCGTTGTCCGACGTGCCGTTCTTGACGACGAGGCCAAAGAACTGCCCCTTCGCGCCCATGTAGGCCGTAAAGCCGTACTGGACAAAGACGATGATGACGCAGTAGATGGCGAGCGTCTTGGGGAGGAGGCGGATACCAGTCCAGACGGCTGCGAACGCGCTCTTGATCTCTTGGGCCTTGGAGACAGTCGTCGTCGCGACAAACACCTTTTCCTTGACAAAGTAGAGCACGGCGCCGGCCGTGATGAGCATGACCGCAATCAAGAGGCACATGAAGGGCTTGACGCTTTCGTGCGCGGGCCCGAACGCCATGATGTAGCCTGAGACGACAAACGAGCCGGCGATCGAGTAGGCGTTGCCGAGCGACGAGGCTGTGACTTGGCGCTCGCCGGCAAAGTCGGCGATGAGGAGGTTGAGCGGCGTCTGCGTCAAATTGAGCGTAATGTCCCATCATAAAGTACGTGAGAATAATAAAACGTTGGTCCACTTGGGCGAGACTTAGTCGGCCGGGAGCGTGTCGAGGAGCTGGGCGGGGGTGTCGCAGAGGGCCTCGCCAATGTGGGGCAAAACAACATGACGAGCCAGCAAAGGCAGCTCATGAGCGACACCCCAAAAGAGGAACGGACGGCGGCGACCAAACTTAGACGTGCAGTTGTCACTGAGGACACCGATGGAGGGCGCGATGAGGAGACCAGAGATCGGACCCACGAGCTGGACGATCTGGACCCACGACGACGGAATGAGGATCTGGAGGAGCGGGCCGAGCGCCGCCCACTGCGCCGCCCACGCGACGTTGAGCGCCATCTTGGGGCAGCAGAGGAGGAAGAGGAACGCCGTCGAGCAGCTCTCGATCGTCGACGACGACTTGGGCACGTCGGCGAGGTCGCCGTCAGCCTTGGGCGTCGCGATGACCGCCGTATACTCGGTCGTCGGCTTTTGGTCTTCCAAGCTTGGCGACATGGTGGTGCTGGCAAATTGAAAAGTGAGCGCTGGGACGGGAGAAGAGGCCGAGAGAAGTGAGTGGCTCGTGGCGAAGTTCAAGGACCTGACATCTGGTGTATCCGATATCTGTCTGCACTGCCATTTTTTTGTGTTTTTGAAGTAGCTGACGAGAATCAAGCGCTGGATTTCACGGTCGTTATCAGGACCAGTTTCCCGCCGCTCTATATACCAGACGCATGGCGACACGAGAGGGGTCTCCAGCTCTCTGAAACGGACGTCAGAGACATAGGTCCTTGAGGGGTCATTCACGTCGGTCTTAAGTGGGTAATCGTTGGCGCTTGATATTACTGCTCCCCAAGCGAGCCCGCCAACGGTAGACACTGCCAGCATCATGCATAGTAACCCAAGACATAGCTTGATTTTGGACCGCAGCAGACGTTGAAGTAGCTCCATCTTCAAACAGTCTGTTTACAAAGTCGGATCCCTCAGTTGAGGCTTCGGATCAGGTCCTCTTCGATCGTAGGTACATGCTTGGATGTGCCATCGTCTTGTTGCGGGAGGACCAGTGAGCGCGGCCATCCCATTGGACGACCCTGTCGAGGCGTCTGCGGTTATATTACTTCCCAACGCTTTGTATTTCCTAGTTCGTACCGTGAAGCGCATAAAAACCCTAGGTATAGTGCTCGGGTACGAGAGCGTTGCCGTGACGTTGTCAGCGACGTCGTCTGGTATCGCAAAAAACATGCTTGAGCCTGCACCCAGAAAAATCAAGTACTGCATTTATTGTCCACAAATGACGTGGGTATACCCACGTCATTCACCCATATCCTAGGTTGCTATGTCTTTGTAGCCACCGAGCGTGGTCAGCGCATGGACGAAGCGCCATATCGAGCGCTTGCTCGTGTGGGCAAGACCTTGCTTGTCGTCGAGAGATATCCAGTAGAGGCAGACAAGCCACCTGCTTCAAAGATCTTTGAGGCGACAGAAACGTCACCTGTTTCTCAAATTGAAGAAACCCAGCAGGTGGCATAGGTTACACGCGTTTACAGTACAATCAGTGTAACCAACACAAAATGCTAGTCAACGCAGGAGCCTCGAGCGCCTGTCGAGGGCGAGACAGCTCCAATTCTACCCAATCCGTTGCTCGTGTCACCGTCGACAGGCGAGAAAAGCCCACTCTACAGCTCCAGCGGCTTCAAGCACACCGGAGGTTGATCTTGCCAACGCAAACTCGGAGCCACTCACTTCTCTCGGCCTCTTCTCCCGTCCCAGCGCTCACTTTTCAATTTGCCAGCACCACCATGTCGCCAAGCTTGGAAGACCAAAAGCCGACGACCGAGTATACGGCGGTCATCGCGACGCCCAAGGCTGACGGCGACCTCGCCGACGTGCCCAAGTCGTCGTCGACGATCGAGAGCTGCTCGACGGCGTTCCTCTTCCTCCTCTGCTGCCCCAAGATGGCGCTCAACGTCGCGTGGGCGGCGCAGTGGGCGGCGCTCGGCCCGCTCCTCCAGATCCTCATTCCGTCGTCGTGGGTCCAGATCGTCCAGCTCGTGGGTCCGATCTCTGGTCTCCTCATCGCGCCCTCCATCGGTGTCCTCAGTGACAACTGCACGTCCAAGTTTGGTCGCCGCCGTCCGTTCCTCTTTTGGGGTGCGCTCATGAGCTGCCTCTGCTGGCTCGTCATGATGTTTTGCACGGACATTGGCGAGGCCCTCGGCGACACGCCCGCCAAGCTCCTCGACACGCTCCCGTCCGACCAAGTCTCGCGCAAGTGGACCACCGTCTTTATCATTCTCACGTACATTTGGATGGACATTACGCTCAACTTGACGCAGACGCCGCTCAACCTCCTCATCGCCGACTTTGCCGGCGAGCGCCAAGTCACGGCCTCGTCGCTCGGCAACGCCTACTCGATCGCCGGCTCGTTTGTCGTCTCGGGCTACATCATGGCGTTCGGGCCCGCGCACGAGAGCGTCAAGCCCTTCATGTGCCTCTTGATTGCGGTCATGCTCATCACGGCCGGCGCCGTGCTCTACTTTGTCAAGGAAAAGGTCTTTGTCGCGACGACGAGTGTCTCCAAGGCCCAGGAGATCAAGAGCGCGTTCGCAGCCGTCTGGACTGGCATCCGCCTCCTCCCCAAGACGCTCGCCATCTACTGCGTCATCATCGTCTTTGTCCAGTACGGCTTCACGGCCTACATGGGCGCGAAGGGGCAGTTCTTTGGCCTCGTCGTCAAGAACGGCACGTCGGACAACGCCGACAAGTGCGGTCACGACGGCAACCCTCCGTGCTCGGCCCAGCAGATCGCCTACAACGACGGCGTCCAGCTCGCGGGTGGCGTCACCGACACGATCTACAACTGCGTCTCGCTTCTCTACCTGGCCGTGCTCCCGTACCTCGTGCGCAAGTTTGGCGTCAAGAAGGTCATCACGGCCTCGATCGTGCCGCAGATCTTCCTCATCGCGATGGCGTACTGCAAGGTCGTCGCCATCGACATGATCATCGTCATCGCCTGCGCGTTCACGCAGAACACGCTGCTCTCGCTCTTCATGGCCACGATCATCCACGTCATCGGCCACGAAGAAAACTCGGGCCTCGGCCTCTTTGCCGGTGCGCTCAACTCGGCCTACTGCGCCGGCCAGTTTCTCAACTTTATCTTTTCGTCGATCCTCGTCACGTCCTCGATGGGGTACGCGCTCCCGATCCTCGTCGGCGGCGTCCTCTCGGCGATCGGCTTTCTCATCTCGCTCTTTTGCTTCAAGATTGAGCTCTACTCGACGTAGAAGAGTCGTTTGTGGCGCCGTTTTGTTTAATGTAGTACTATGAAAACAGGGAATCGAACCCATCTATTGTCTCTTTGCCGCATCAACGCGTGTCGATTCCAACTGCCGACAGATAGACCACGGACGTCCAAACGACTCGACGTGGTTGTCGACACAGAAAGTCTTTGGATTGCAGAGGGGATTCTCATCCATTATCCATTCGTCGATTGTCTACTGTTTCGACGCGGTTGCTTTTGAAAAACGCAGCAAAATCGACTCCCGACTCGACGTACGCAGCTCGTCCTCGGACGAGTCGATACACTTGGGATGCTTGTACACGACCGTGTCCTTGTCGACGCGGATGGCCCACGGAACGTCCTGCACACTGCAAGCGACGCCGAGGAATTGGTTGAGGAGCGCGATGCGATCTTGGATCGCGACAGCCGTGCTGTGACCAAACAGCTGCGTGTTGGGGAGGTCCGGCACCCGCGGGTTCTTTGCGTGCAGCGTCGTCGAGAGACTGCGAGAGGTCGAGTAGCGGTGCCACACGTACAGCGTTCCCCGGCGGTCGGTCTCGATCTGGAGCTGGTACTCGACAAACTGACGGCCTTCGCGCACCGTGACGCGGCTCTCGACGACCTTGGCCGACAGAAGCGAGATGGCTGTGACACGCGCCAGCTCGCTCTGGAGCACCAGCACGTGCTGCTTGAGGCGGTCGTTCTCACGGACGCGCTCGTTCTCGCTGCGCTCCGCGAGAAGCGCAGCCATCTTGGACCGCAGCAGCGCGTTCTCGGCGCAGATGCGACTGTTGACGACGACCGCGACCTCGGTCGCCTTGCGCGCTTCGACTGCCGCCGCCTCGGCGTCGGCAAGACGAGCCGCCAACGACTTGGTCCAGATACCGTCGCTGCTGCTGCTGCTCGTGCCTGTTGCTGGCTCCATATTGGTGCGTGGTGGCGGACGACAGACAATACGATGCGGAAATACCTTTTGGATCATCGCGGGGAAAAGGCCAGTGGCACGTAAAAGCGAGCAAGACTCTTGTAGAAGGTGTCGAGTCTTCTGCATCGCGGATATTGCTGGACGACGGGGATGCAGGACCGCTGCTACAGCATCATTGGCTGCAGTCCCTCCTTGGAGAACGAGGTCGCGTTGCGCTCCGCGCACGTGACAGCCTGTACGGTGCACGCGTCTCGAGGCGGCTACGGCCTAAAGTACGAACTGGAAATGACCACAGTGGACGGCGACATCATCCGCGCCTGGCTCGGCTACGACACTCTGCGCGCCCTTGCTGCGTCGCTGCGCAGTGCGACGTCGCCCGACCTGCCACGCCACATTGTCGGCGGGTCCCCGGACCGTGCGATCGTGGGCACTACCGCGTGGTCGTTTGGCTTTGACGCTGAGGGATAGGTTAGTCTCGTGGGGCTAGGGTTGTGCCTTCGCAGCAAACTACAGCTGACGATGGAACCGCAGCCGTGTGTGCAACCAATGAGATATATGGATCATCTTCTTGGTGCAGCAACTCCTCTCTACTACTATACTAGTACTACTGTAGTATTTGTCGAGTATATAAGTGTAAATGGCTAACTCGTTATTGGTATTACTTCCTAATTTTTGGACCGACGCAGCGAAAACTTGCTCGAGAGCGACTCGCGGATCGAGAACGACTCCCGGGACACCGACTCGCGCGACGTGTCTTCCGACGCCATCGACGAGTTGTGCGTCAGCGCCATCGACTCGCGCCCAATCGCGATCGACTCGCGGTCCGCACCCGACGACGACCGCGTCCGGCGCTGTAGACGCACGTGTCCTGGTCGACGCGAATGCCCCACTGCAGGTAGTCGGTATTGGTCGCGGCTTCGAGGAATTCGTTGAGCTTCTGGATACGCTCCTGGATGATGCGATCCGTAAAGTTGCCAAAGAGCTGCTTGTTCGGGAGGTCCGGGATGTCCTTGCGGCGGTACCCGTTCTTGGTCTGCAGCGTTGTCGCGAGGTTCCGGAACGTCGAGTACCGGTGCCACACAAAGAGGGTGCCACGGCTGTTGGTCTCGATCTGGAGCTTGTACTCGACAAACTGACGGCCTTCGCGGAAGGTAATGCGGCTGTCGACCACCTTGGCGCTAATGAGAGACACTTCCTGGGCGCGGACGAGCTTGCTCTGGAGCGTGAGCACTTGGTGCTTGAGGCGCTCGTTCTCACGAAGAAGCTCCGCGTCCGCGTGCTCGGCCACGTATGCGGCCATCTTAGCACGAAGCGACTCGTTCTCGGCTTGAATGACGCGGTTGTGTGTCAGAGCAGCCATCGCTGCCTTTTGCGCTTCGACAGCGGCAGCCTCGGCCTCGGCCACGCGCGCCGCCGCCGACGTAAGGATGCTCTGCGACGACGCCGAGAGACGGTCACCGTCGCTGCCTTCCGAGCTCGTTTCAATCGGCTCGTCGTCCTGGTTGCTGTGGTTGTGGGACGACCGAAGCATTTCTTCTTCCTCGAGACGCTTGGCTTCTTCCATGCGCTTGACCTTCTCCTTCTCCGCAGCCGCACGCATCGCGTCGGCGGCAAGGAGCGCATCGGCCTTGGCCTTGGCTTCAGCCGCCCGCTTGAGAGCCGCCTTGCGCGCCCGCTCGGCCTGCACGAGCACAACAAAGCGCTTGCGCGCCTGCATGCCGCGGACGCGCGTCTGGAGGCGGATCGTGCCACGCTGCATGCGGCGGTAGGTCTTTTGGGCCACGTGCATGCGGTACAGCGTCTGGACGCGGATCGCAGTCTGGCGCATGGCGACGAA